GTGTGGGATGGTGGAGTAGTGTGGGATGGTGGAGTAGTGTGCATGGTGGAGTAGTGTAGGATGGTGGGGTAGTGTGGGATGGTGGGGTAGTGATGGTGGGTAGTGTGGGATGGTGGCAGGTGTGGGATGGTAGGATAGTGTGGGATGGTGGAGTAGTGTGGGATGGTGGATAGTGCAGATGGTGGGTGGTGTGGGATGGTGGAGTGTGTGGAGGATGGTGGTAGTCTCAGATGGGGATACATAGAAGCAAGGTACAAATGTGTAATAACCACCCAGCCCCAGTTCACCCAGCCCCCAGTTCACCCACCCAGCCCCCAGTTCACCCAGCCCCCAGTTCACCAGCCCCAGTTCCACCCCCAGCACCCACACTGACCCCCAGTTCACCCCAGCCCCCAGTTCACCAGCCCCCAGTTCACCCAGCCCCCAGTTCATGCCCCCAGTTCATGCCCCCCAGCCACCCAGTTCACCCAGCCCCAGTTCACCCAGCCCCCCCAGTTCACCCACCCAACCCCAGTTCACCCAGCCCCCAGTTCACCCCAGCCCCCCAGTTCACCCACCCAGCCCCCAGTTCAACCACCCATCCCAGTTGTCCAGTCACAGAGTTCACCCACCCAGCCCCCCAGTTCACTTACCCAGCCCCAGTTCACCCACCCAGCCCCCCAGTTCACCCACCCAGCCCCCAGTTCCTAGCCCCCCAGTTCACCCAGCCCCCCAGTTCACCCCAGCCCCCAGTTCACCAACCCCAAAGTTCCCCCCAAATTCCACCAAGTTCACCCATGCCCCCTATTCCACCCTAGAGATATTCTGTCGACGAGGACTTTGGCGGTGTCTATTTTTATCTTGTTTGTTTAGTTTTACTTTGGTTTTCCGCTTCGTTTGCCTCTACTCTTCAGCTGAGTCGACTCTCACTCTCTGAAGGCATTGTTGTGATGCACTGTGTAAGGTGACGGGCCATATGAGAACATTGTCAGTTGTGTGTGTGTGTTTACAATATGTTAGTGATACGACCCAACATGTCACAACACTACCCAACATGTCACAACACTACCCATCGTCACTACACTACCCGACACGTCACTACACTACCACATACCCGACACGTCACTACACTCAACATGTCACATACATGTCACTACACTACCCGCATGTCACACTACCCGACACGTCATACCTACCCAACATGTCACTACACTACCATGTCACATCCGGCACCTCACTACCCAACATGTCACCATACTACATGTCACGCACACTGCCGACATGTCTGTACTGCCGACCGTCACTACACTGCCAACATGTCACATTACTCCGACACGTCACTGCACTGCCCAACATGTCACTGCCTGTTGCAATGGGTTGTGGTATGTGCAATAGGTTGTGGTATGTTGCAATGGGTTGTGTTTTGTTATGTAGGTTGTGTTGTTTATATGGGTTGTGTTGTGTTATAATGGGTTGTGTGTGTAAATAGGTTGTGTTATGTTGTAATGGGTTTGTTGTAATAGGTTGGTTGTGTTATAATAGGTTGTGTTGTGTTGTAATGGGTTGTGTTGTTTTATAATGGGTTGTGTTGTTGTAATAGGTTGTGTTGTGTTGTAATGGGTTGTTGTTGTGTTGTAATAGGTTGTGTTTATTGTTGTAATGAGTTGTGTTGTTGTAATAGGTTGTGTTGTGTTATAATGAGTTTGTGTTGTGTTGTAATGGGTTGTGTTGTTTTATGTGGTTGTGTTATTGTCATGGGTTGTGTTGTGTTGTAATGGGTTGTGTTGTTTTATAATGGGTTGTGTTGTGTTATAATAGGTTATTTTTGTGTTGTAATGAGTTTGTGTTGTGTTGTAATGGGTTGTGTTGTGTTGTAATGGGTTGTGTTGTTTGTAATGGGTTGTGTTGTGTTGTAATGGGTTGTGTTGTAATGGGTTGTGTTGTGCTGTAATGGGTTTGTGTTGTTATAATAGGTTGTGTTGTAATGGGTTTGTGTTGTGTTATAATAGGTTATGTTGTTGTAATGGGTTCTGTTAGTGTTATAATAATGTTATGTTGTTATTTAATAATGGTTTTATGTTGTTATTTGTAATGGATTGTTTTATAGTGAGTTGTGTATAATGGGTTGTATTATTTGTAATGGGTTATTGTTGTTGTAATGGGTTTGTGTTGTGCTGTAATGGGTTGTGTTCGTGTAATGGGTTGTGTTGTGCTATAATAGGTTGTGTTATTTGTAATGGTTTGTGTTATTTGTAATATGGTTTGTTAACTTGTAATAGGTTGTGTTGTCCTGTAATAGGTTGTGTTCGTGTAATGGGTTGTGTTGTGCTATAATAGGTTGTGTTGTGTTGTAATAGGTTGTGTTGTTGTAATGGGTTTGTGTTGTGTTGTAATAAGAGAACACTTACAACCTCCTCCTACAGAGTCCCAACAAATAAGGAACACTTTGCACTCTATTGATTAGCAGTGGTCTTTACTTGACTATTCATATGGAATGACTTGGCCTCACCTCATGCACTTACAAGAAGGTCATGTGAGTAGACTCGGCCTCACACCTCCAAGAGTCATGTGGAGTAGGACTCTTCCCTCACACTCTCACAATTAGGCCATGTGGGTAGACTCGACCTCACACAATCACAAGAAAGGCCATGTGGAGTAGACTCGGCCTAATCAAGAAAGGCCATGTGAGTGAGCTCGACCTCACACGCTCACCAAGACAGCCATGTGGAATAGGCTCGACCTCACACTTACAAGACAGCCATGTGGAATAGACTCGACCTCAGCCTCTTACTAGAGGCCAGTTAATTGGTTGAGAAATGTGCTAGAATTTTCTCCTTTATATCAAACTGTTGTCTGAACGAACTATTCCTTTATACTGACAAAGTCTATGGATAAAACCGTGTTAATACTAGTTCCTTGTAGTGTTAAACATAGGAGTGCTGCTGATGAGGAGGATGCTATAAACGGAATTACGAAATAAACCGTTCACAATTTTCTCTCTCTTTTCCTTGCCAGGTTGAGTTCTTGTTGAGCCTCAGGTGATCTCGACGCAGGCCTTGTAGTTATCCGACGTCACCATGGAGATATTGACACTGGCAGGCGCAGAGACCACCCGAGGACGTACCCATGGACCTCACCACCAGTAGTCGCCGTCAGCTAGTACTTCACACTCCCCTCTTGGTCACATCTCAGGAAGACTCCAAGCCCGGATGGGCTGTCCACATCACCAAGCTACCTGCAGACGCCATGATGGTGCGCTCCTCTCAGACATCTGCCAGTCGGTATATCCCAATACCAAAGAACATTGTCACGCGCTTTCTTCCGCCCTTGTCCACTCAACTCTCCGCCCTCCTCCACAGCCTGGGATGTCCCACATTTATTACGTCAGGTCCAGATTGTGAAACAAGACTGGGTCACCAAAACCATCTGATTTGGTCTGTGATTTAGATGTCGGCCACCGTCCACAGAGGACAAGAATACCACTACCACTACCGTCATCACCAGCGAAGCGACAAGCAGCAAGGATTGGGGGCAGGACGACCCGGGGACTAATGGTGATGTAGTGGAGGCTGGAGAAGGCGTAAGTCAGTCAGTCATGAGGCCGCGACAGAGGCAGCTCTCGCCGCAGAACCTCCGGTCAGAAGTCCTGCCGGGATAGGAACCAGTGACAGTGATATCGTGCCGGTAGCAACCTACTCACCGCTCTCCTGCAGCTACAGACCTCGACCGCCGCCCAAGGTCTGCTTCCTCTCAAGGACACTGAGGCCAGGTCCCCCAAATGCTCTACTACACGTACTGCTCTCCAGCTGATCCAGAACCTGAGGGCCCAAGCAGCTGGGCAGCAACAACGAAGCGTCTCCACCACCATACCCGACTGGATTACGAGGCCGAGGTGGAGAAAAACATCCACCTCGAGGACAACAAGTCCTACAGTACAAGGGACACTGAGGACGACGAGACGTGGCAGATGAAGACCGACTACTGAACTAAACTCCATCCTCAGGCGAGACTAAACTCCCAGGTGATGTGGAGCCTGTCACGTATGGTGACTCATGTGTATGGTGACTCTTGTGTTAACTATCATGTGTATGTTAACTGTCATGTAGTATGGTGACTGCCTTGTGTTAACTGTCATGTGTATAGTCCTGTAATGTGTATGGTCACTGTCATGTGTTGTATGGTGACTGTCATGTGTACGGTGACTGACATGTGTTGAATGGTGACTGTCATGTGTTGAATGGTGACTGTCATGTGTTGTATGGTGACTGTCATGTGTTAACTGTCAGGTAATGACGAAAAAATACGGTGTTATTTATTGAGACTTTAGCAAAGCGTTTGACAGAGTACCGCATTAGAGGCTTCTGAGAAAAGTTAAGGCTCATGGTATCGAGGGGAAAGTTTTATATTGGATAAAAGCATGACTCACCGTTAAAACACAGAGGTTCAGCGTAGATGGCGTTAAATCTGTGTGAGGCTGTGTAACCAGTGGGGTTCCCCAGGGGTCAGTACTGGGCCCACTCTTGTTCATAATCTACATAAACGATCTAGATACTGGGATCAGCAGTGACATAAGCAAGTTTGTGGATGACACCAAAATAGGGCGGCAAATTAATTCAGGGCAGGATGCAAATGCACTACAGGAGGATTTAAATAAACTGCAGGAGTGGTCAGAAAAATGGCCAAATGAAATTCAACACCAGCAAGTGCAGCGTAATAAATATTGGAAGAACAAATACTGTCAATGTATACAGCCTTAACAACATCCAACCTAGAAGTCGACCTGTGAAAAGAGACTTAGAGATGGTATAAGCGGATACGGCCAAAACAGTGCGTTAATGTTCAAAATATGGCAAACCAGGTATTGGGTTTTATATCTAGAAAGTAGTAAGTAATAAAGTGCGGAGATTAATATTGCAACTATATCTTGCGCTAAGTCAGGCCCACACCTCGATTATGCAGTTCAGTTCTGGTGCCCTTATTATAGAATGGATATCAATTCACTGGAGTCGGTGCAGCGAAGAATGACGAAAATGATTCCGGGACTTAGAAACCTTCCAATCAAAATAGGTTAAAGAAAATAACTTGCATTCTCTAAAGACGAAAGTGCGAGGAGATATGATAGAAGTATTTAAGTGGGTGAAAAGGAATCAATAAGGATATAGATAAAGTTCTTATAATATCCAAGCAGGATAGGACTCGTAGCAACGGATTTAAGTTGGATAAGGTTGGGTTTAGGAGGGAGATAGGAAGGAACTGGTTCACAAAATAGAGATTGGTGGACAGGTGGAACCAAGCTTACCTTTGTAGTAAGTGCTGGAACTCTGGAAAGTCTTAAAAGGCTCGATAGATTCATGGATGATAAGAGTGAATAGTAACCTCGACAGGAGCTGCCATGCACAGGCCAACCGGCCTATTGGAGACTCCTTATTTTCTTATGTTCTTATGTTTGTATGGTGACTGTAGTGTGTATGAGTGACTGTGATTGTATGGTGACTATGATGTGTTGTATGGTGACTTGATAAGATTGTATGGTGACTGGTATAATTTGTATGGTGACTGTGATGTTTATGGTGACTGACATGTGTTATATGGTTGTCATGTGTAGTATAATGTGACTTATGTGTTGTATGGTGACTGTTATGTGGTGACTGTCATGTATGGTGACTGTCATGTGTTGTATGGTGACTGACATGTGTTGTATGGTGACTGTTATGTGTTGTATGGTGACTGTTATATTGTTGTATGAGCTACTCTCTGTGTGTTGTATGGTGACTATTATGTGTTGTATGGTGACTGTTATTATTATGGTGACTGTCGTGTGTATGGTGACTGTCATGTGTTGTTATGGTGACTGACGTAATATTTATGTAATTTAACTGATGTGTTGTATGGTGACTGACATGTGTTATGTAATGTGACTGTCATGTGTAGTATGGTGACTGTTATGTGTTGTATGGTGACTGTCATGTGTTGTATGGTGACTGACATGTGTTATATGGTGACTGACATGTGTTGTATAGTGACTGTCATGTGTTGTATGGTGACTGTCCATGTATGTTTGTATGGTGACTGACATGTGTTTATTGTGGTGACTGTCTTGTTTGTATGGTGACTGTTATGTGTTGTATAATTTGACTGTCCATGTATTATGGTGACTGTCATGATTATGGTGACTGATTATGTGTTGTATGGTGACTGTTATGTGTTGTATTAACTCTCATATATTGTATGGTGACTCATTGTTGTATGGTGACTCATTGTTTGTATGGGAATATGGGACAACTGGCCGCCGCCATCTGGCCGCGTAACTGGCCGCGAGCAACTCGCACACGGCCAACTGCCGCAGACTGAGGAGCTACTAAACGCCTATTTTTGCGCTCTATGTTAGGTTAGGTTAGGTTAGGTTAGGTTAGGTTAGGTTGGGTTTGGTTGGGTTAGGTTGTCAACGAAAAGTTCCATATGGCGGCCAGTCGGCCGGGGCAGTGCCCGCAGCTGTTGAGGCTGCGGCCAGATGAGCGGCCAGTTGTCCTAGACCCTGTTGTATGGTGACTCATTTGTTGCATGGTGACTCATTTGTTGCATGGTGACTCTCATTTGTTGTATGGTGACTCATTTGTTGCATGGTGACTCATTGTTGTATGGTGACTCATTTGTTTATTATGGTGACCTCATTTGTTGTATGGTGACTCTCATTGTTGTCGTGACTCTCATTTGTTTGTATGGTGACTCATTGTATGGTGACTCATTTGTTGTATGGTGACTCATTGTTGTATGGTGACTCATTTATTGTGGTGACTCATTGTGTATGGTGACTCATTTGTTGTATGGTGACTCATTTGTTGCATGGTGACTCATTTGTTATTATGTTGACTCATTTGTTGTATGGGTATTTCTCATTTGTTGTGTGGTGACTCATTTATTGTATGGTGATTCATTTGTTGTATGGTGACTCATTTGTTGTATGGTGACTCATTTGTTGTATGGTGACTCATTTATTATGGTGACTCATTTGTTGTATGGGGTCTCATTGTTGTATGGTGACTCATTGTTGCATGGTGACTCATTTGTTGTATTGTGACTCATTTGTTGTATGGTGACTCATTTGGTGGCGACTCATTTGTTTATGTAGGTGACTCATTTGTTTATGGTGACTCATTTGTTGTATGGTGCCTCATTGTTGTATGGTGACTCATTTATGTATGGTGACTCATTGTTGTATGGTGACTCATTTGATATGGTTTTCTGTTGTTTGTATGGTGACTCATTTGTTGTGTGGTGACTCTCATTTGTTGTGTGGTTGACTCGTTGTTCTGTAGTGTTCTTTGTTGTATGGTGACTCATTTGTTGTATGGTGACCATTTGTTGTGGGCGGTGAGCCATTTATTGTATGGTGACTCATTTATTGTATGGTGACTCATTTGGTTGTGCGGGTGACTGTTTGTTGTATGGTGACTCATTTGTTGCATGGTGACTCATTTGTTGCATGGTGACTCATTTGTTGTATGGTGACTCATTTGTTGTATGGTGACTCATTTGTTGCATGGTGACTCATTTGTTGTATGGTGACTCATTTGTTGTATGGTGACTCATTTGTTGTATGGTGACTCATTTGTTGTATGGTGACCATTTGTTGTATGGTGACTCATTTGTTGTATGGTGACATTTGTTGTATGGTGACTCATTTGTTGTATGGTGACTCATTTGTTGTATGGTGACTCATTTGTTGTATGGTGACTCATTTTTTGTATGGTGACTCTCATTTGTTGTATGGTGACTCATTTGTTGTATGGTGACTCATTTGTTGTATGGTGACTCTCATTTGTTGTATGGTGACTCTCATTTGTTGTATGGTGACTCATTTGTTGTATGGTGACTCTCATTTGTTGTATGGTGACTCATTTGTTGTATGGTGACTCTCATTTGTTGTATGGTGACGGTCATGACATGTATAATGAAATGATTTAGGCAGATCTTTTCCTGGTTTGTGTGTGTGTGTGTGTACTTCACTGTGCTAATTTATGTATGTATGTGACAACGGGGAGCCAGACCGCCCCGGGCTCAACGCTTACCACATTCTACTGGCTGTGTGTGTGTGTGTGAGACGGCAAAAAGTAGTTTTAATGTCACTGTACTTATATGGCTCCTTCCTCCTACCTCTCTCTCTCTCTCTACCTCCCCCATAAGACCATTAGTTCTTCCTCGCCTCATCAAATAAACAAAAAAAGGTAATTACTGAACGCCAGGCCGTCCTCTCCATAGCTCCCTCAGGCAGTAGTGGCCGCAGTCTCACGAAGTCTTTGAATATGTGTGTGTTTTACCTTCACAGTGGATTATAGGGTATACATACATACATACATACATACATACATACATACATACATACACCAGAGCCTTGAGATGAGACTTAAATATGGGGAAGCAGCTGATTGGTCCACTTAAGCTACGTTGCCGTGATGGTGTTAATGCGGCGACGATGTTACGCTGAGACTTTACCTGTAGTGAACCCAATCTAACCTCTCCTAAACCTAACCGAAACCTAACCTAACCTAACTTAACCTCAACCAAACTAACCTAACCTAACCTCAACCAAACTAACCTAATTATCAAAGGTTTACGTAAATTTCATCTCACTTGTGATTTAAAGAAGGTATTTAGTTACAGTATAGTCTCAATGTGATTCTGATTCCATCTTGAGAATAATTAACTTATGCTATAGTTTAGGTTAAAAGTACTGTACTTAGGAGTCAAACTTAGATACGCTCCATCGAGACTTTCACTCTAGCCTTCGTGTGTTGGTTTAATGTTGCCAAGTTAGCGATTTTGGGCTCATTCAACAACGTTCAATTTTTTCAATTTCAATTGTTTATTCCTTGATAGAGGATGCGGGATCCTAGTGCTGTCACTAGGTACCCCTGTACCATAACACCAGAAGCAACTGGCAAGTGTGACAAGTATATACAGTATAAATATT